TTTCATAGAATTGTAGCATAGTGGATATGCTGTACATCTTAACAAAAGTACAACCGGGGTCCTTCAGCCTGTTAGAGCTGTTGGACCTCGGTAAACCCCAGGGTTGAAATCCTTTTGTTAAGATGTACCACATATCACAGTGACTTGTAGCATAGTGGATATGCTGTACATCTTAACACCTTGTTTCCGATGTCTTTCGTTCTTTCATCCCTTTTTGACCGGGTGTATCCCGGTAAATTGGCCTTGTTTCCTTTGTTGTTCTTCTTTCTTTTCGTTTGGGTAGAGAAACAAATCGCGCCTTGGAGGAAAATTTTATGGTGTCCAATATTTATTTATTTTCTTTGAAAGGCGTACCCCCCCCTTTGGTGGGGCAGTTGGCTTGTGACCACGGAAGGTGTCCGCGTCAGTTGGACTGTTACAGTATAGTACGGACATTAGAAAGTACTGAGCGGAGACCGGAACAGTTTTAATTGTGAAGACAACAGCAACAACAACAACAACAACAACAACAACAACAACAACAACAACAACAACAACAACAACAATCCGGGGTAACGCACAACAAGACTTTGCGCTAACTCAAAGGTGGATGTTCCCTCAAATTACGCACGAGCAAGCGCTTTCCACCACCAAGTTCAAATGCGGCGTAACACACACCGGTACAGTCCACCCTCTACACTACAGCAGTATGTGCATGTTGAAGTTGCTGCCGCCGGTCCATGTATTTCTCTTGCAGTCTTGCAATGGTAGCAGTGGCAAACTGAAGGTGTACCGTAAATCTCCATGTTTCCCCACCCCGCCCCATTAGCCCCACCCCCCTACTTTCCCCCCCAGATGCACTTTGTATGCACTAGGCCTGCTGTGTTGTAGGCCTGCTGTGTTGCATCACACACGCAGTCTAATATGTAGTCTATGCTCCGCAGCCTACACATCTGCAACAGTCTACATACAAGAGGCTGGCAGTGAACCAGCGCCCATAAAATCAAACAAATATCATCCAACCTAACCTTCTGGTATGCAATACCTGGTTTCGCAGAGCACATGTCGTTCGCCGGACCTATCTTCGACCTGCCAGAGGGCGTGGTCATCCCCTAGCTGTAGCAAGGGTTGAACCACGGCAAACTCCAGAACAGGACGAGGCCCTTCATCTATGGTGTCCCCTCCTGGCTCCAGACTCAAAGACCATAGCGCAGGGAGTGGTTCCTCATACGGCAAGTCTTCTCGCATAGTTTATTCCTCTAATACACGGTAGCTTGTGCCGGGAAGCACTGCTTCCATCCGGGAGCGCGTTCTCCAACCTCCAGTTCAGACGGCTGTCGCTCTGTCGCGCTCTTGAACTCTTGAACATCTACGATGACTTGAACATCTACGATGACTTGAACAGATGAACATCTACGACGCAGACTATTCGATGATCTACAACTGCTGTTGAGCAGATCTACGGTTTGGTTCAAAATTCAAAAAGGATGTCGCTCGCCATCTCTTGTCCTCACTCCTCGGCGAAGACGTACCTCTCCTTTCGGCTAGTTCTCCTGATCTCCTGGTGGGTTCCGCAATGATTGAGGCTTGTTCCGCTCCTGTGCTCCGAAACGTGCGATTTATTGATATTTGAGCAAAGTGCCCTAGTTTTGGAAGCAAACTGGCACTAAGCTCGCAGTTTAGTTGGGCCGCCTACCTCAAGATTCTCCACACCACACCTCGTCGCCCGTTAGCGTTTGCTGCTGCGTGATTGCTCACCCTTTGCTCACCTCGTGCGTACAACAATAGGCTGTGTCAACAGCCAAGGCAGCACGATTGCTGTGTGGTTCCACTATTGCCGCGGTGAGGGAGCTTCCTAGCACAAGACATCATGACTGAGGAGGTCTCTGCGGCAGAATCCGCCCTCCAGCGAGGAGTTTCGGTCAAGCCCGAAGTGTCTGGACAGCTGAAGGACTCTACAAATGGTACAGAGGACTCGGCTATCACAGCCTCCTACCGGCAGGGGGAGTTGATATTTCTGATGGTGAGAGCAGTTGGCGCGTTACGGCCCTTGGGAACCCTTAGATCTACATTGTAGATGGATTCTCCTTCGTATGTTTACTGCATGCACACCGGAGCATTGAATCTTTTCGAAGGGGTTGCTGGTGTATGTTCCTGGTTGCATACAAGCACTGGCTGTTCGTACATCACGAAACGAGTCGTACTTTGTTTTGCTCCTCACACCTCACAGACAACTCCGGGTGGTGGATGCTAAGCCACCCTCTATCGAAAAGCAAGCAGTCACCATGATACCATGTCCAAGTAGCTGCTTGCCTGCCAACGTGGCCAACCCATCACAGCTGCGGAATCCGACCTCGTGCAACTGACCGTTGATGCTGCGTCCCCGGCACCTTGCACATGCTGCTCCCGTCCATCACACCGTCAGCTACTATTGGGGTGCTTGGTGGGATTCATCGCCTTCGTGTGAGTGACAACATTCATTGAGCAAGTTGTATTGGGTGGGAAAGTGGAGTCTTCCCAGAGTCCGTACCGACGTCTGCTGTATGTACTTGTTTGAGTATTCGGACTTGTTTGAGTATACTACACTATTGTACGCATTTGAATGTCCAGAAATAGCTGTAGGTGCTTGCACAAGTAGTAGAGCGGAAGGCGCGTGGAATTAAGTTGACTTTTGCTCGAAATTCGAACCATGCTCTCGTGGTACGCGGGGGGGCTACGGTTCCGAATGATCATTTTGTCTGTACGAAGATCGCACAGTACCTTATGTTGTATTCTGTTGCTGTGTCATCCTTTGTCGCGTTTGTCTGTGTGTATACTTCCGCGATCGTGTGCATGCATGTAAGATTGGGGAGAAATTGTCCAAGAGCCAGTTCTCGAGGGGGAGGCAATAACGAAAGATAGACTCACTCGGTCACATAGGGTAACGCCTTCGTGACCCAACCGGACACCGACTAGTATCTGTTTCTTTGATGGCCGAACATATTCTGGTGGAGTCTAGTGGTCAATCTGCACGACTTCCTAGTTGCAGTGGTTGGTTCCATTCGCTCTCCGGAGGTGTTTGTTTCCCGGGATTTATTTCCAGCAAAGTGCAGCTGAATCGATCTACATGTACAAGTAGGTCATGAGCAAACAAACTTCGGCTTTACGGTCGACGATGGAAAGGGATGGCTGAACCCTTCCCGCGAAAAAAACTTGAAAACTAAGGCGCGCACCGCAGGTGGAAAAGTGGGACAATAAAACGAACACAAAAAATGAAAAAAGCTCCTGTGTCACCTTCCTCTTGTGTGACCCCGGCTGATAAGTCAGATATATATGCCGAAAGGCCTGTAAACCGGCGTCAGGATAGATGGGACGAACACGCACGCCACCTATTCTTGGGTGCCAGTCGTCATTTTTCGGAACATGTTTTGGTGCACCAACCGGAGTTTCACAAGAGTAGTTTCCCACCTTTCCTTTTTTTCCTGGGTGCCTGCCTTCCCTTGATAACGCGACAAGGGTTAGCACTGTACCTTCCCTCTCTGTTGGGTGTACTCTCGGCTCTAGTTTTTTTTGTTTGTTTTTTTCCCTCCGGAGAAAATTAGCCCACCTAGAACCAGGTTACGAGGTCTCCAACTGAACCGCTCAGCCAATCTTGCGTGACCGAGCTTGCCGACTGTCAATCGATTAAGTAACCGACACGTTCAGAATAGTTTTCATGCTCTTCCAGCCTATTGAGTAACGGTCTGAGATCACACATATTAGGCCCCGTTCGCAGCTCCCTTTGCCATCAACGAAGCGAGCTTCGAACTGAATCGCTCTGTGAAATAGCCACGCCATGTCTAACAAGAGTATTGGGGTGTGATATCATTGGGAGTTAGCTGTAGGCATCCCTGGTATTGCCCTTCACGAAACCTTGTGTACACTCGAAGACTGTGGAAACTGTAACTTGTAGATGGCTTTCCCTATTCCTGCTGAATTCAGCTTAGGCGCCGTCTGATGTCTTCCTCTTTTTCTGTTCTATCTGCTCGTTTCTTTTCCTGTGCCTCTTTCATCATCGCCACACCGCCTGCCCGCATGTTTCGCATCCGTTTATGTTTCTCTACCCGATCGATATCAAGATACGATGGGGCGATGGAGCTGTCCCTGAAAATTGTCTGGAAGGTGATTCCCGGATACCTTGAGAGAATAGCAGAACAAGCCGAAGACGGCCTGGCCATGCTCAGCAAGTGGGGCTTCCTCTACACTATTGCTGCCTCCATTTTCCTAGCCACGGCTGCGGGAGCGAGCATCAAGTTCCTGGGCTTCCCCGGCGATCTCCCGGATGTCGTCCATTGCGTCCACGAGCTTGGATACGTCCCGATGTGCCAAACACTACCGATGGTGAGAGCAGCTGTAAGGTCTTTGGTAGATGCTGGTGCGGCGGAAGAGGAGCACCAAGGATCTACGAATGATGTTCCTGCCGAATAGGATCCAATCAGGGCCAAGCACATCCTTGGTTATCCTGAGTCTGTTCTCTGCAGTCACTTTCCCATTCCTCCTCCTGCTTCACTCTCAGATTTGCTGCAGCCTTTTCAGCATTGCGGCCGGTGGTTCGCTGGGGCCAGAAGCTCCGCTCGTGGCCGTATCAGCATCAGTGTCGGGATACATATCAATGCACTACTTCAATCATGACATGGTCATGGTTCGGAAGTGTACCATTATCGGCATGTCTGCGGGACTCAGCGCTTTTTTTGGCGTTCAGCTCGGCGGTAAGAGCATGTGTCTGAATGTGTCCGTATCAGTAGGGGATGGTCAATGGTAGCACTGCGTTGTTCTCTTGTCCCATACGTACAATGAAATCGGTGTCCGCCTTGTGTTTTTTTTTCGATGCCATTTTTGCTTGGACGCGTTTAAAACCTGGCCGACTACAACCATCCTACATCTGCACATGAGTTTACTTTTCCTTTGGAAGCCGCGCGCCAGAATGCAGTGAAATAGCGATGGTGCAAACAGACGCTCGCATCCATGGGCATTCTTGTCGGCATATATGCCGGGTAGTATACTGCGTGCCCTGCCAATCCAAATGCGCCATTCGCAATTTTCGGGGATCACCACAGTTGCACCGGTCGTTCCTCTTCTGTCGCATGTCCACGTCTTCTGCTCAACGTCTGTCCCGAGCACCGGTTTTCCCTCTCTTGCCGTCCCTGTGCTGCATTTGCTACTATCTTGATGGGTTGCCTCCCAGGAGCTTTGTTTGCCCTGGAGGTTCTCCACACTATGGGGATGCAGTTCTTTGACGTGGCCGTCTACGCGATCGGGTCGGGCGGTGTATGCTTGGCGGTCTACCGTGGCCTCCAGGGAGATGAGTTTGGCGTGATTTGGAGCTTTCCCGATGCGCCGCAAAGCACTGCGACGGAGGTTATCGGCGGGGCCATTGTCGGCGCGATCGCGGGCGGCGTGGGGATCGCGTTCCGAAGGTGCGTAGGGGGCACGTTTCGAGTCGAATATTTCGCTGCTTTCGCCGCTTTGCCGTCACCCTTGCTACAGCAGCGCAAGCAACAAGCCAGAAGATGGTGCTTGTCAAGAGTGCAAATTTTTCCACAACCCGACGGGTGCTCTGTTCTTCTGTTTGGGCGTGTCCCCTTCTTAGCATCAACGATCTGATTGACGCGGCACACGTGCGAAGCTGCCTTACCAGATTCGAAGATGCCTACTGATGACCAATAGTCCTCGCTTAAACAACGTTACCTTGGGCCGACTCCCGGTCTTCCCGGTGATGGCCATTCCCCCCTCTCGTCGACACTCTTCCAGCGTGTTCCGAAAAATTGGCAAGGGGGTGAGCATCCTTGGCCTTGGCCACTTCGAGGACACCGAGTCGCCCATCATCCTGTGCGCGTTGGGCGGGCTGTGCGTGTCTGTGTTGGGCGTTCTGGTGCCACCGTCCATGTTCTGGGCCGAGTTCGAGATCGGCTCAATCGCCGAGCCAGGCAAGCCTCTGCCCCACATCTGGCCGCAGGTGAACACGGGGTTGAAGCGCACCCTCGTGCATACGTTGCGAGCCCGTTGTGAAACTGCGCCCGCTGCAGGCCCAACGACTTATCATATGCAAGGTGCGCCAATCTGAGCATCTACTATTTTCATTTGAACCTATCGGCATTCACCACCGCCATCGATGTTCTCTTCTTTCAGGGAGGCGTTTTCTATGGTCTCGAGCGATATCCGTGGGAGTCGGGCGCAATGTACTTGCTCGTCGGTCTGATTAAGCTGCTGGCCATCGCCTTCACCGTGCAATCAGGCTTCCGGGTACGTGGATCGCTCTAGAGAGGGAACGAATCAATCGAGCACGCGAGTTGAGAAACGAATAAGAAAACCAACCTCCCCAGAAAAACTACATTGAAGGTCGTGCTCTTGCGTGACATATTTTAGGCGTCAATGGCGACCAATTGTTACAATAAGTTCCTCAAATATTTCCTCAAAATAATGCCGTAGAAGTCGTTGATCTTGTGGGTGGAACTTCGTAGAAGGCAACCCCTTTCGCCCGTCGTGCGCACGCATGGCTCCAAACCCATCTTGAGCATTGTTGTATTCTGTACCCCGCATGTTCCTACCTGTCTCCAATTCGCTTCTCAGTATTGTGCGAACAATGTACTCGAGCGTGGGACGTTTGTTTCTCCTCTCCCCCACGAAATACCAATGTACACCTGTTGCGCTTTTCTGTGGGACACGCAGGGGGGCTTCATCTTCCCGCTCTTCTTCGCTGGGGCTTCGTTCGGCCGCGCCCTCCTGTCGATTACGGACGACGTCCTAGCTCCTGGTTTGGTGGCTGCAAGCCCGGCCCTCCTGTGCATGTGCTTCGCGGCGGGACTCAACGTGGCAGTGACACGGACGCCGTTTGCGTCGCCGCTGATCCTTGCCATTCTCTCGGGGCAGCCCAACGTCATGGCCCCGGCCCTGTGCGCGGCTCTCGCCTCCCTCTTCGTCACCCGGTCATCCAAGTTCATCGGGCCACAGAAGGACCGCGCGGATCTCCAGTTCATCGGCGACCTCCAGCCGCTCGAGCTACCGCCTCCACGATCCGCCTCTTCGGCATCTCAACCGTTTGTCCGCTCTGTGTGTAAGCGCCCCGGTGTTGCGTCTAGCGCTAACGGTAACGGCAGCACCGTCAGGCAGGACGAGGAGACGGGCTCGTTGAAAGGTGTCGGCGCCAGTGCCGGAGGGTACAACGCGCTCTCGATTCAGAATACAATTAGCGTCGAGGACCCTCTACCGGATGATCCCGTGAGGTCCGAAGGGTCGATGTTCGGAAAGAAAGAGACTGCAATGAGAGAGTCGCAGGAGGAAGAGGAGAAGGAGGAAGAGGAGGAGCCCATCACGGCGTCATATCGGCAAGGAGAACTGATCAAGATGATGGTGAGGAAACCTATTGACGGCACGGTCGAGTGTTTGGCGAACATGTTGTTCGTGGTTTTAAAAGGCTTGGAGATTGACCGAGAGTAGTTCCCCTTGACAGGAGTGGAAGTATGGAAATGCGGGAGAGGGCTAACAGGATCCCAACCGCCACATTAACGAAATCATGCACATTGTCCCAGGAGCAGCACTTCCACTATCAATCATCATTGTAATCATCGATGCTCCCACCTCAAGTGATACGTGGCAAAAACTAACTCCGGCATGTGCCATCTGCTGCCTCCCCACACTGTCGGCGCATCACTACCAATCGTCCCAAACATCTCATCACGGTCTGTGCGGCCATCTCCAGATCCTGTTCGGGTTCTTGGTGGGACTCGTCGCCTTCTTGTAAGTTGGACCTTTCGGCGGTTGCCAAGGCAGATGCCTCTTTCGTAGCTTTCGGGATATATTTTACGGATGAATCTAGCTTCCATCCTCGTGTTTGTGTGAGATAGCGTGCCCTCGAGTACTGTGCTCTATTGTATATGAGCTCAAGGGTCCAAGAACCTGCGCAACAGTGATGCCTGGGGCCCTGCGTAAGCGTGGAGCTAGCGACAGCACCTGTGCGTATCTTATACGTTTATGCTCAATATTTTCTACTCTTCGGGGGGGCGGTCCCCGAACGTTGCCCAAAGGCTGTGTTTTGTTTGTCCACGTTGCCTTTGCCACGAATTTTGAATTCCATCTTCTCCGTGCACATCCCCCCACATCAAGGTACGATGGGGCGATGGAGCTGTCGCTGAAAATTGTCTGGAAGGTGATTCCCGGATACCTTGAGAGAATAGCAGAACAAGCCGAAGACGGCCTGGCCATGCTCAGCAAGTGGGGCTTCCTCTACACTATTGCTGCCTCCATTTTCCTAGCCACGGCTGCGGGAGCGAGCATAAAGTTCCTGGGCTTCCCCGGCGATCTCCCGGATGTCGTCCATTGCGTCCACGAGCTTGGATACGTTCCGATGCGCCAAACACTACCGATGGTGAGTTGGCGTATGAACAAGGAGCGTTTCAGCTTCAACCTGGCCCCAGGAAGTGCCTTACACGGGATTTTTCGCCGTCAAGCAATTTACCGGTTGCTGTTTTTCATATAGTTGACTGTTGCCCACTTCCTCCTTCTTCTATCCGCCCTGATCCTCAGATTTGCTGCAGCCTTTTCAGCATTGCGGCCGGTGGTTCGCTGGGGCCAGAAGCTCCCCTCGTGGCCGTGTCGGCGTCAGTATCGGGGTACATATCCATGTACTACTTCAGGCATGACATAGTGATGGTTCGGAAGTGCACCATTATCGGCATGTCTGCGGGACTCAGCGCTTTTTTTGGCGTTCAGCTCGGCGGTGAGGGCACGAATCCACTATATGTGTAGCAGCAGCGGATAATAGCGTCAACGTGGTAGTGTCCCGCAACGACCACCGTTGAATGGTGAAAGCAAGGGCATGGAATGTCCTGGACGAAAGCACGCACACACACAGGGTGTGGATCGTGTGGTATATACCACCTTGTCGCCTGGACCGCTGCCATGGGTTTGCGGCAACTGGTCATGTCTTGTCCCCCCGAGGACAGAATCCAGGGACAAACCCGAGAACCAATGCAACGTGACCATGACGCAGCTGCGACCGGAAAACCTCATGCGGAAACAGGAATTGACTTACTAGACAAAGATCCACTGACACATGAGAATACTCGGTATACCTTTTGGCTTGTGCTTCGCTCACCCCTACCTCATTCTCGATATGCAACGTCGTTTCCAGGCGCTTTGTTTGCCCTCGAGGTTCTCCACACCATGGGAATGCAGTTCTTTGACGTGGCCGTCTACGCGATCGGGTCGGGCGGCGTGTGCTTGGCCGTCTACCGCGGTCTCCAGGGAGAGGAATTCGGCCAGATTTGGCCTTTTCCTGAATCGCCGCTTAGCAGTGCGACGGAGGTTATCCTCGGGGCGGTTGTCGGCGCGATGGCGGGTGGCGTTGGAATCGCATTCCGAAGGTGTGCATTCTGTAGTTTTTTCGAGTTTCACGCGTGGCAGCTTTGTCGCCACCTCCGACACAAAAGTGACAGTGGATTGCGTCATGCTGCGCGTAGCCCGATCACCACTGACCATCAAAGCATCTGACGTACTTGCATCTGTTGTCGTCGGACTCGACATGAAAAACGTTGGCCTGACCACCCGATTGAACGCGTTTGCGATACTCAATGGGGAACGAAAAACTGCTCGCTCTGTTTCTCTGAAATGAATAGACCTTTGTGGGCCTTCTGCTGGGTGAACGAGTACTTGTAGTACCGTGGAAAAACCCGCCCTTCCGTCGTGCGCTAATAAATTCTGCATACATAGAAACACATCGCGGGTTCTTAGAACAACTTGCTGGATTTTTCCTAACATCTAAATTACCGCAACCTACTCGTCTTCACACCATCGGTTCCACTCGCGCCCTCCCTTCGCTGTTGCATCACCCTTCCAGAGTGTTCCGAAAAATAGGCGAAGGGGTAAGCATCCTCGGCCTTGGCCACTTCGAGGACACCAAGTCACCGATCATTCTGTGCGCGTTGGGCGGGCTGTGCGTGTCCGCGTTGGGTGTTCTGGTGCCACCGTCCATGTTCTGGGGTGAGTTCGAGATCGCCTCGATCGCCGAGCCAGGCAAAGACCTGCCCCACATCTGGCCGCAGGTGAAAAAAAGGCGTGAAGGACAACCTTATACAATAATCTCTTTCGCCCCCGTGCCTATCTTTGCACACCGCTGGTTCTGTGGCCTCGTTTTCAAAATGACACCGGCTCATGAACACCCTCGGTTTTCTCGGAGTGCAGGGAGGAGTCTTCTATGGTCTCGAGCGATATCAGTGGGAGTCGGGCCCAATGTACTTGCTCGTCGGTCTGGTCAAGCTGCTGGCCATCGCGTGCACCGTGCAATCAGGCTTTCGGGTAAGTGGGTTGCGCTACATAGGGAATAAATCAAATCACCATGTCTCGGGGGAGGTGCACAACCCATGAGGGTACCGTACACTGGTTGACAAGGAGATGCCAAGAATATTCTCCCAGGTTTTCATTTCTACACCCTCCACTCCAGCTCGAACCTCTTATGAGCTTGGCCATTTCTTTGCCCCGACTCGACAACCATCGATTCGTCCCTGTCTTGCTGCTCTTACAGGGGGGCTTCATCTTCCCGCTCTTCTTCGCTGGGGCTTCGTTCGGCCGCGCCCTCCTGTCGATTACGGACGACGTCCTGGCTCCTGGTTTGGTAACTGCGAGCCCCGCCCTCCTGTGCATGTGCTTCGCGGCGGGCCTCAACGTGGCAGTGACACGGACGCCGTTTGCGTCGCCGCTGATCCTTGTCGCCCTCTCTGGGCAGCCCAACATCCTGGCCCCGGCCCTGTGCGCGGCTCTCGCCTCCCTATTCGTCACGCGGTCATCCAAGTTCATCGGGCCGCAGAGGGACCGCGCGGATCTCCAGTTTATCGGCGACCTCCAGCCGCTCGAGCTACCGCCTCCACGATCCGCCTCTTCAGCATCTTCGGTTGGTTTCCAAGAGAATTTGATCAGTCACGGGAACGGCCACGGGAACGGTCGGCGGGCGGACCCAGAGGCGGGAAAGCTGTTGACCGAGAGCGGTCCCACGAGCGAATACAGTGCGATCCCGGAGCGCTATACAGAACAGGACGTCGCTCGTGCGATAAAGGCGGCACTTCAGACAGACGCTTAGCTTGTAGTCTTCGTCGGTGGGGGTGTAGCGCCGGGAGGCATGCATTGATTTGCGGCAGCAACGGCGATGCATGCTGCAAGGACATGGGGCGCGTGTGATGAAAATGAGGGGATATTTCGCAATGACACGGCGTTTCGCCCCGGGTACCTCGTTCTTCGGACGACACGTGAAAGATTCGGTACTCTCGGCCCTTCTGCGAGTGTTTTGCCGCAAATATGGCCTTCGGTCACGGTCCTTTCGGAAGAGGTGCTCGCTTGTATTGGGACCAACAACGAAGTGTGAAGTCACAGTATCAGATTGTAGGGGTATTACAAGCGTGGTATCGGCGAGCGTGGCTTTTCCCCATGCCCTCGCCATGTCTTGGTACCTAGTTTTTCATAATATTTCTATTCTTTTGGAGAGTCAACTTTGTGTATCTGTCGCACAGATACTATTGAGTGGGGTATCCTTTCTCGTCGCTGTGGTGTTTGCATTTGTTTTTTGTGTTGTTTTGCTTTGTATTCTAGAACATTTCTCCTCGACACGAAGCCACGTGTGAACGCGTTTCTCGCGAGTTGAAATGACACACAATATCATAGCCATGTTGCACACATTCAGGGAGGGTGCGTGGTGTAGCCTTCTTTACCTTCCTTGTGTGTGTTTCTGTATTCTGTTCTTGGTCCCTGGATGCTAGAGTCCGTCCATGGCCATACCACTATTTGTGGGATCGCCAAATAGTATGAGTTGTTAGGAATGTCACGCAAAATATTCGGCCACATGTTGTTATTTTTGTGGCTGCCGTGTGCCCTTCGTCATAACGAATATTATGCAGGTTACGAGACTCATCTTGTAAGGTATCTTGTGTGTTGCTTGGATTTGTGCGTGGGTGGTTGTCCGTGAATCGACATTTGAGCGCTGTTTTCGAGGGTGACATTTGCGAAGAGTTGTACTGTAGCGCCTATAGATCAGTGTAACGTGGGATGGGATGATCAATTCAGGCAAAATGTTTTTCGGCTGCCACCACCTGATATGGGATGGATTCAATCTCTCGTGGATATAGTGCGATAGGATGGAAAAGTTTACCGCGCCAGGATTAGATGAGATGGTGTATGAGCGATTCAAATCTCGTTGCATGTTGACGATGGGTTGGTACGGAAGGTTGTTGTTGTCTTGACATCAAGAACCGTTCCGATCTCTCTACCTAGTACCTTCATTTGTCCGTACTGATAAAACATTTGACCGAGCGATTCCCGTGGTTACAGGCTAACTTACCTTTGAAAAGGTATCTACACGATACAGCGGACCCGAAGGGTCCGCAAGCCAATTTAACTCAACGACCAATAGTAGTGTGGGGCCTACCGCTCCCCTCTACACACACGCAACGTGGGGCCGACATCCAACTGGAATTCAACACCACAGACCAGAGAGAGAGCGCACCCCCTGGTTCAAGCCATCCGGGGAAGAAACGACAAGGACAATGGAGATAGAAAAAATAAATAAAGAGGCAAGTGGCACAGTCGTGAGTTCGAATCCCGATGGGGTGAAAAATTGAGGGTCTAAGCGGAAGAAGCTGAAAAAGCTCGCATGAGGACCAAACTTCGACGTTGTTAGCACCGTCGACGAGGGAAAGGGACGGCTGGACCCTTCTCGCGATAAAAAAAGCGAAATTCAGCACGTACCGCGGGAGGAAAGTGGGATACGAAAAGAAAAAGAAAAAAGTCCCGGTGTTTACCCCCCCTCCTGTGTGACCCTGGATGGATGCATTTGTGCGAAAAATATGGACTACAGCTGAATGTAGTACTCTAGTCTAGTCTACAGCGGTAGTACCCTGAACATGGGGGGATTGTCGCTATACATAAAAATAAATAGGACAATACACACACACACATCACATTTCACACGGAAATAGTCTACGTGTTTTCGCAGTTCCCCCCTCCTTTCGATTAAAAAGGGCGGAGAAATGCCGCCCTATGAACATTCTATGTATGTATGTACTGTATGGAGGACATAGATTGGCCAACCAAACACATCGATCGATCGATCGTCTGTTGAAAAAATGACAATTGCTGCTGTGCATATGTTCCCCTGGGGCAGATGGGAAACTGTACCGCAGTGTAGTGTAGTATCCCCCGACTTCAGAGGTGGTTTGGAAAACTACTTTGGAGATCCAACAGAATGGCCTCTTCAATTAATTGTTGCCACGACGGTGTAACACGGATGACTGCCATAATATGCTATGCCGTCCAACCTCAGGTCTCGTGTCACGGCTCATCCATTTTTTTTTTTTTTTTGTTCTTCACTTCAAATCAGCGCTCACAGCACTAGTGCCGTTTATTCCAACCCGTGGTCACACAGAAAAGCCTCTCTCTACCCTCCCCTCCTGCGGTACTTAGCCTTCAATTTTTATTGCGAGAAGAGTTCATTCAGCACTCACTCTCTTCCCTCTGTGTACACACGAACTAGCGCTATCCACTTGGCCAGGAGGAGCGGAAGCGAGAGAAAACTCACTTTGCAAGAAAAGCTCGCCTACGCTGGGATTCGAACCCCCTGATCTGACCTCTAGAAGGATACGAGGCTACCAACTAGACCACCGGGGCGACCGACATCCATGCCATGTACTAAATAAATACCAAAAGTTCCCGGTGCGTCCCTGCGCTACCCCTTTATCATTTGCAACACCATCGATCCACCTGACTGACATGCGTGTCATCACACGGTTGTTGCCACATGAACACCAGCTCTTTGTAGAATGCCTGGTGGGACTCATTGTTCATCGCCAGTTTGCAACCCGGCAAGTGTTAGTGGTTGGGCGCTGGTCTGCATGCTGTAACATTACGTATTATTGTAGTCTTCTTGCGGCAGCCAGGTTCCATCTTTATTTCTTGGCGGAAGGCGGTGGGATTTGGTCAAAGAGAGGTAATCGGAACTTCAGTGTAGGTATACATAGCCTACGGCAGTAGTCTACCCAGGAAACAGTGGTCGGCTTCTGTGCCAAGCAGGCAAGAACTGCTGTAGACTATGTAGTCTTGTTGCTTGTTCCAATAAAAAAACAAGATGCGTCGAATGCTTCATTTTTTCCTCGAAGGCAAGGAACAGATGGTACCTTCACCGGCCGCCCGCCGCCCTCGGAGAGGAGCGGGCGTATCTGCCCGTTGCAAGCAGCGTAGGACTCACGTCTCTGCCTGAACAACAATCGCTTGTTAGGAACAGTAACCTGTGGAGGGAGGAGGGAGTGCACTGCACGATCCCCACGCATCAGCATGCTGATCATGATCTCCACGGATCCACCACAGCCACAGCCAATCAGCACCAGACAGAGAGTCCGCGTACATCAGGTTTCGAGGGATATTCTCTATTTTATCCGCGGGCCCCCGGGGACAAACCACGTACCGACCCCGTAATATGTTCAGTAAAGCCTCCATACCGGGGCGAGATGCTTTTTCGAGAGGGGAAAAAAAAGGACCTTCCTCTGTTCCTATGCTATGATAGAGAGACGCTCGAGGCCCATGGGTCTGTGGGAACATTTGAATTAGCATCATCCAGGTCGTTCAACATCGAAAGGTGAGCATCCCACACCCCCGCTGGTCACTGCGAATAGCTGACACGGCTGGCACTGAAGCAGTGGTAGCTTACAGCAGGCGGAACGGGCCCATGCAGCAGTGTGTCGCGCAGGGGAGCTTGGGGGGGTCCTCGATGGCGCAGCCCGTGCACACACCCTAACGTTCGTTCGTTTGCCCATCAACAGCGCAGGCGGGCAAAGGTGATCTTTCAACAAGATTTCACCCGCAACGTTTCATGTTTGAATCGGAAGCCCATGCAGTTAATTTTGGGCACCCGGGACGTTGGCTGGGGCGGTGTGTGCGCGCTGCCGTGCTCCGTGAGCGTGTCCTTTCCCATGTCGTACGCCCGGAGAGCGCGGAGGCTCCGTTCCTTTTGCGAAAAGAGCGGCGCGTTCGACGAAAACACGCTTTGGTTCGCTTGTTGCTTCCTTCCGGACAGTTTAGCCCAAGAGAAGAGCTCGGTGGGGAGCCGCAGGAGCTTGCAGGTTGTGGGGTGCTTTGTCGCCGCCGTGGGGGATGTCGGCCGAGCTTCAAAAGCGTTTTTTTTTTGGCAGAGCGCTGCGCCTGGTATCTCTCTCTGTCTCTCTCCCCCTCTTATAACATCAACACTTTTTCAAAATCACGGCGAGTTGGTGTTGGGACGGATGGCCTCACCGACTGATGGCGCTCGTCGCCCACGCCCTCAAACCCATCCCCGCCTGTTCCTTGAACCATGGTGCACCTTTGGGTTCACCCTTTTCGGTCTGACGTTCCTCCTATATCGCGCGCAAACTCGGTCTCTGTGCTGCTCTCTCCCAGACGCCGGCACGGAGAAACCCCCAAGATTTCTTCCTGCGGAAAACGGCAGCAGGCGAGCAGGGGGGGGGGGTAGCAGGTAAAACAGGGGTACCACACACCCCGTGTGGTGCCTTTGTCGAAACTAACGGCCCCAGTGCTGGCCGCTGCTAGCGATCCCTAACCATGAACGGCCACGGTCAGTGGCCACCGCCGCCGCCGCAGCAGCAGCTGCAGCAGATGGCGCAGCAGCAGTATCATCAACAGCAACAGCAGCAGCAGCAGCAGCAGCAGCAGCAGCCCTACCAGCAGCAACAACAACCGCTCTCGCCTGGCGTTGGCCAAGGAGCACCGGGAAACGCCGACGTGCTACCATCCTCCGAACAACTCGAGATTGAGGCAACGAAGAGGGGCATGCCGCCGCTGGACACCTGCCTCCGCCGCTGCCCCCGGTGCCTGCAGGGCGTACCCATCCGCAGGCAAGCTAGATAGTACCAGATGACACAACCGCGCCAGTCATCACAGAGAGAACCGCCCTCTGGCACACGCGTGGTGGAGCACGCCTTAGTTGATTCTCTCAGCGAGCAGTAGTGTGGTTGTGTTGTGTCGCACAACCCTTGCTGTTGTCTCTGCTGTGACATGAACCCAAGGTGGAAAATCATTGGCGGGACAAAGACTTACTGGAGAAAAAAGAATACGGCGTTACTGCTGTACGCTCCACGCCTACGTTGGATACCACCCCGAGCTTTGCATTATCAACGCCCCCCATTTTTTTATTCAGGATGGTGAGAAGGTGTTGGATGAATAGACATCCTCGAGGAACCCCGCTGAAGAACTGGTGCTCGAGAGCTGCTGCGGCGCCCCGAAGCGTTAACGGTGTTCGCCTCGACCACCATTGGTGTCTTGTTCCTCGTTGTTCTACCCCGCCTCCCACTGCCCTTGGGGCGCCTGTCCGCTCATCCCCCACCCCCCCTTGTCTTTCTCGCTCTCAGCATGATGTGTCCGCACTGTCAGTACCACATCCCAGCGTCCGCCAAGGCAATGGCGCGTAGAGAATTGAAGGAAGCGCTGCACCACGGCGGCCAGGCCGCAAGAAGCGTTATGGTCAACGGCGGCGGCGGGGCCGCCGGAGGATACGACGGCTACCACCCAGCCGCCCAGCAGCAGCAGCAGCAGCAGCAGCAACAGGGAGCGGCGACGGCGGTGGCAGGGGAGGGGTCCGACGCAGAATCCCCGGAGAGGCCGAGGCAGAAGCGGAAGAGGCAGTCGACCAAGAAGGGCCTCATGACCGCCACCGAGGAGGAGCTGGCCGAGCTAGACGAGGGCCTCTCGGACGACGAGCCGGTCAGCTGGCGGAAGACTTCGGGGCAGCGCCGCGCAGGTTCGTCACGTGAAGCTCGCTGCCCTCTTATTGGTCAGAGATCTTGTGTCTGTCTGCTGTTTCTGCTTTGCCGCCCACTTGGTTCGGCATGACTAGCTGCAGCAACGGCCATGGCATCGTATGGTTATCTAGCGATCAATGCACTGCGTGAAGTGTGGAAGTTTGTGGGACCACCGGTCGGCGCGAGTTATTGGAGTGTCTTTCGTAGGAGTGGCGGTGCTAGCACTGGGGCTCCGGTCGCACGATGGCCGATAGAGATGACGTGGTGTTCTGATTGATTCTAGTCACAGGCAGCTGAATACTGTGCGGTTGGGTCGTGGCCTGGCGTGAACCCTCCCTCCGTCTTGGCTCGCTCTCGCGCTTCGTTTTTATGGACACGGCACCTCTGCAACCGTTATATCGTACTTAGCTCGCCCCCCGACTGAGGGGATGTTGCATCAGCACACATGAACCCGGCCCCACCTCTCTCTGCCCCTGCTGTTTGCGGCGTTGGCCTGAATTCGACGATTTGTCGCTTCTCCGCCCTTTCGCCGATGTGTCGGTGTGTTCCTCGCACGATGATATATTTGTCCCTTTCCTTACTCGCCTGTCTTCATTTTGTGGCCGGCGTGGCGGGGGTCTGGCTGTTCGTTGCGCGTGTTTTTCTGCCGAGGCAGGACGTGTGCAGACGGACAAGAGGAAAAAGAAGTGTCCCAGCTGCAACGAGATGAACCCCATGTCTGTCAAGGTGAGAAAAAACGAGCCCGCAACATACCGTTTTTCGCGCGCGATTTCTCCCCGCTCGCGTGCCCTTGTCTGGAAAGAGGTCGGTGACATGCGAACATGTCCGTTACCGTGTGGCGTCCCAATGCCATCATCACCACGCCGGTACCCCCCCCCCCCCCCCCCCCCCCCCCCAAAAAAGGGGCGGGGGGGAAATTTTTTTTTTTTTTTGGGGGGCCCCCCCC